ACTGCATGTACACAAACTTACATGCTCGATTTTTTCACCCTGGGTGAAATAGTGTACCTACATGCAGTGACTGCATGAAAATTTTGAGCAAATTTACTCAATTTTTTAGTTAAGTTTCAAATGTGCTCACTTTACTTCCTCACCCCCCAAAATGAGTAACTTTGCTCATGTAAATTTGCAAGATATACTGTAAACTCCCTTGTTTGAAACAGGAACAGACCGAAGTAACATTCTTCAGATGTCTGCTACGGATGAGAGCTATCCCATGGTCAAAGCTGGAACTTTGGTTGAAAATGCACAAATTGTTTATAAGATGGATCCTGCATCGGGAACTACAACCGCAGACGACCTAGCTGTTATGATGGCTAGCGCTTGTAAGTTTAAAACGAAAGCAGAAATGTCTAATTCACGCGAAGTGCCAGGTGAAAACGACCGAAATTACGAAAAATATTCCTTGCTCGACTATTTCTCGCCATCCTGTTCGCTGCCCCTGATCCAATTGAACAAAGGAACATACTTCTACATGTGCACACGTAATAATAATTTTTCAAATCGCAGCCAGAAAGGTAGGATCATCGTCAAATAGCCATGCACAATTATAATAACTGATCAAAGTAATTTTAATAATTAACGCACTTGAAACTCTTCAGTCAATGTTTATACGACCTTCATATGTAACTCAGCAACCATCTTATTGCCAGACGAGGAGAGCCGCCCAAATAACCCATACCAAATAACCTATTACAAACTTAATCATATCCCTAACACCCAACTTTAGCCATGATTCTTACAAATCTAATCTTAATCCTATCCTGATGCCATTTCGCAGGATAGTAGCTATTATATAATACCTTATTGAATTCTGATCGTTTAATTGGCTGTTTATGGTCACGTGATATTGAATAGAAAATTCCATTTCCCAAGAATGCAATGGAATACGTTCCATTGCACTCTTCGCGAGTGCAATTGTACTATACGTTTTATTCCATTGCACTCTTTATGTTTTCGATAAATCACATCCGTCAAAATGCTTCTCATACGAATCTATTAGTCTATTTTGGTATTATATAAAACAAATAATGAATGTTTCTTCGTGCAATGGTAAGAATATTTTCATTCGGTGAAAGATGAAATGTTCCATTCAACTCGGCTGTCGCCTCGTTGAATGGAACATTCCATCTTTCACCTCATGAAAATATTCTTACCATTGCACGAAGAAACATTCATTATTTGTATAATATTCAAACTGTCATGCTCGAGTTTCCTAACATTGTTTATTCTATTGTCTTGACAACTATGGCATGTGCATGCATGAAGGTCGTATATTCGTCCATTTATCCTGCACCATATATTGGAGCTAAATTGCACTGTAAAATTGCTTTTTACATGCACTAACGCACTATAATTTGTTTTTATTTTAAGCACAAAATGCCATTTGTAATAATTTAACTAATCTAAGCGAAGTAAAATATTTTGCTTGCGTGTCAATCTTTTAAATTCTATGTTCAGTTGTTTTTGCCTTTTTAGTTTTCGGCGTTACACAGTCCTAAAGAGTAAAGGCCTGCCAACATTAATAAATATAATTTTCAAACAGTATATACCGCCAATGTTGGATTATGTTGGACCAAACTCCCAAAGAAAAAAGTGTGTTAAATATAACTGTGTGTTAATAATGCATCTTGAAAATCCAGTTATATAGATATGATTCAAAATGAAGACAAAATTGTATAATATTTATATTTCGACTTTATTTCAAATCCTTTTTTCCAAGATGATACTTTCGGAATACATTTTATTCCATATTATTTCAAATTGTCTGCTGAAAATGAATTTAATTAATAACACACCTTTTTGGTCTAAAATTTAACGCACGTTTTTTTCACACCTTTGCATGTATACGTATGTAAAAACGGTGTGTCAAATCACGTGGTTATATAAGTTCATGCAACCGCGCGCGGTCTTTGTCCTTTGATCCTATAGTTATATTTGTGTGGAAACGACATTGTTTGAAGGTTGTTTTTTAAACATTTGCAAATTCTAAATTAAATAATATGCAAATTCTATATATTTAAATTAAAAGCTGAACAAATAGGGGTTTGTTAAAAAGAGATATTAGAATGTACCTTAATAAAATAAATATATATCGACTATTCTTATAACTCGTACTCGTTATAGTGTTTGGTCAGTTGCTGTTTTCATATTGGTGTGTCATATCCAAACCAATTAAAAATAAATAATAAGCAATGAATAGAATATAGTATCGATCTTGTCAATAAATGTCTGGGGAGAAAATTTCTTTTTATCTGGGGTTCAATTACAATAAAACGTTCGTCGTTTGATTATAAAACTGATCTATAAGAGAAATTAATCACTAACTTAAGTTTAAGTTTGATACAAAACTTTATACCGTTTTCACCATTGAAATGGTTTTCGCTCTGATTTACATAATTTTAGCTTCGACTTTCTCGGCTAAAACAAACTACGCCAAAATTATAAAGTTGGTGAAATATTTATATATCACTGACATTCTTGTTACAGCTTTGCTGTAAATTATTAATGAGCTATTACTAGTATTATAGATGATGTATAGCAACTACCAGAATTTAAGCACTTACAGATACAATGATTCTTAATCCTTACACGTAAATAAGCAGGTAAAAATATGAAATTTTAATTTCCAACATGGCACCGTTTTGGAATAAACCGCAATTATGTTACTGGTCCAACATTTCCGCTCTTTTAAAAATAAAAAGAAACATATAAAGAAACGTTTTAATTTGTATTGCACTTTGCAAGTTTTATCAGGGATGGATAATATTTAGGATATGAGCAAATGAAATCTAGTTTTTCACTTCCAATACACACTTCCGGAGTATATATATATTATATATTGAGCAGGAACATGCATGCATGCACTCGAAAAGAATTCTCGTGCAATTTCAGAAAATAAAAACACATGCACTTCAGAGTTTCTCTAAACTTCGAATTGCACTCGTCCTTCGGATCCCTTTCAATGTTCCTTAGCATCAAAAACCTTATTTATGTATTTTTCCCCTTCAATTTATGATGTGATTATGTAACCAAGGCATGCATTTAATTAAATTTAATTAAGTTTATTTAAAACCTATTAATTAAAGCATGCTATTTATCCAGGCATGCTACTCAGCTGTGCGTTATGGTTTTATCTCACCGCCGTGTGTAAATGCGATGTCAAACAAAATGAAATAATTATAATTACCAGTCACATGATTTGAAATTAAAGGTGCTCTATATATGACACGACGCATGTGCTATCGAAGACAAACTGATTCGACCGTCATTCATTGCACATCTCTACAGAAATATGGCAAGTCTTATTTCTTGGTGCTTTTTGAGTTTGTGTGTTTTTGCACATCACATAAGAGGTGATGTGTATTTTCATGTACCAAGAGGTTCAAACGATAGGCTGAATGCGGCCAAGGCCAATCGTCAAAATGCAAACAGAGTATTCGACTCCCAGGTATGTAGTGTATAGACCTTCTGTGAACAGTCAAGTAAAGTTTCAGTCTACTTAAACTTTAATTTCTTTATTTAATGGGATTTTTATGCAAATGTGGAAAGTACAGGACCGTGGAACTTAAATCTTGAAGTTAGGGCCGCACAGAGTAATTTGTGAGTTGGAGGCAAAATTATATGTAAGGAGCACTATGATTTTCCACCATTAGAAATTCTTGAGGTCCTGTACTTGTTTAAAAACTGATTCCATATTCTTAGGGCAATCAGCAAGACATATATTTCCTTTGCATGGTTTCGAATCGGTTTAAATACCAATATCAATGCGTAGTGTCCCTGTTAATGTGTAGTATCCCATGAAGTCCTTATGTTTATTTGGGGCGCACGTACAGCTTTGGGCTCCATGTATAGCAGGGCAAATTGACCCTTTTGCTCCCGTCCCGGACTCCCCCTCACTCCTTTCCTGAATTTACGTTACCGTGTGTTCTATACCAATTCATTTGCTCACACGAATCCATTCATTTGAGACGCTTGGCCAATTTACCCGCAACTTGCTGCAGTTGATCATTTCTTGTTACTTCCTGCCTCTTTATGATTGGTCAATTGCAGCGAAACCAATCGTGATCGGTGCATTCATACAGGAGGTTTATCAATTATACAAATTTCAAAGAGGTTATCAAATCAATTGGTTCATGCATGTACATGAGCAAATAAATTGGTAGAATGTTTTTGGAACACATCCATTGCCACGACAGTAAGGTAATACCTTATCTAACTGTATTTTACCTGAGATTGAAGTAGTCTATTTAACCTCAGTTTAACAGAAGGTTATACTAGATATATCAGAGATTATATATATCAGATAATTTCTGAACAGTGAATCAATGTTCAATAATCGCACACTTACGTCCTTTTTTAGAACAACGCAAAAGGTGGATACAATGCTGGCGAAAAAACGCAGAAAAAAACAACCGATTGGTATCACATGGTGAGTTCTATGACGTATTATTTAGTAAAGTAAAAAGCCCAAGTCTGACAATCATCAACGGTTTTCGGTCAAATGATAAACCGGCGGTTTGTACCACTACACCTTTAGAAACCCAGGATCTGGTAATGTTTAGTTCTGCCGGCAGTACAAAATTTATTTCATTCAAACGATATTTTATGGTCAGGAAAACATTTTCGTCACACGATTCATCCCGGGTTGCTGATCTTGCCCAGCACATAATGATCCCCAAGTGAAGTGTTTCCATTATCACATGTACCCAATCTACCAGTTGATGTATGATATACTAATGTCATGCAGCTATACTGTGGCGGGCATGCACTCTTATAGTGATAGCGTATAAACTGTAAACACAGGTTGAAACAACGATAATCAACTGAAGTGTATTCAAAGGATACCATGAATTATGTGACAACAGGCATAAACACATCTATTGGCAGCATGCTTTAATAATTATAGGTCTATTGGCAGCATGCTTTAATGAAACTTTAAATTTCTTTGTTCTTCACCAATAGCTATACTTTATGAGTGGAGCTCAAGAATCTGATGCACCCACAATACTGAATCTTGAATGGACCAATCAACATGGTTGTGGTGATGGAGATCTCAACTGTAACATTGTCTTGCAATATCAATGTCGACCTTCAGGACAGAAATGTCCATATCGAGAAATTAGGAACGGTAAGATAATCAATATTTTTTTATATGTACCTATATAGTGTGTGTTTGGCACGCGGGCCATGTTTGGCGAATTTTCTTTTAGTATAACGGGCTTGCCTATATAAAAATCCATTATCTTAATTTGCACAGGCAAGTCGGAAGCTACGCCTGTTTATGGACAGCGGAATTATAGAAACCAAGGACAAAAAGAAAGACACAGGAAGGGCCAGGCTCGTACAGACAGAGTGTATAATGAACAATGGGAATGGTACGACAAATGCAGAAAACGACAAAGAAATTTAGGTATGGACTGTAAATCATTGCAGTATAAGTAACCTATTTATTAGGATTTTGTCACCGATATGTACAAGAATTAAAAAAATAAAATAAGTTCTGCAGGTTACCACGAAAAGTCGATCTCGATTTGAATTCGCATCTTTGTGTTTCTACACCGCCACTCTGCCCTTGCATTAAGCTATGCTATCGAGTCAACGGAGATTGATAGCGAGTCTTATTCAATTTAAGTGAACAAACTGTTTTCGTGACGACTTAACGCTTGTCTCGGAGGACGCACAGTGTTTCAATTCTATTTCAGAACTCTCATTAGAGATATGAGCGTTTTTTATTTCTCTTAAGAGGGTTCTATAACTAGCATAAAAATAAATGTAGATTAAGATAGAAATGTGATGAGATAAAATATAATTTGTAACTAGATGCTTTATCTACCTAGGTTTGTTCACAGCGGATCAAAATCTCAAAGGAGATACAAGCAGGTACACAAGGCAAAATGCAAATGGTAATCGATATGGTTACGAATGTCCTGAGGAGCGAGATTACTACCCGTACTTTCACCCAACGGATTGGATAGACATTGCAGTCTTAGGGAAAAGTTCAGATTGTGGTTATTACAAGAGGGAAAGTTTCAATACCAAACCCAAAGGTAAGCAAGTGTCCTCGTTTGCTTTACTAAGATGTAGATATTACAGAAAACATGGCTTGATTCAGGTAGGTTTTGTTTAAAAAATCGTATGCGAGCTCTTTTCCGACCTTTTCCATCGCCAAGTAGGCTCTTTGCAGTTAACTTGCAATAATTGAAAACAATAAGCGAGTGGAGAGCATGGAGAGCTGTGGGATTTGTAAACAAAGTAGTAAGACAAAGCACAGCATTTCTGTTGCCCTCCAGATATTGTTATTAAGTATTTTCAAGCCAGTTGCAAAGGGCCTATTATGTTTAATTTGTTGGCGACTGTGACCTTATCATGCCAATCCCCACCATGCAAGTCCCTGCAATGCAAGTCCCCACAATGCAAATCCCCACCATGCATGTCGGACTGTCCCTGCAATGCAAGTCTCCACCATCCAAGTCCCCACAATGCAAATCCCCCACCATGCAAGTCCCTGCAATGCAAGCCCCACAATGCAAATCCCCACCATGCAAGTCGGACTGTCCCTGAAATGCAAGTCTCCACCATGCAAGTCTCCACCATGCAAGTCCCCACAATGCAAGTCCCCCACCATGCAAATCCCCCACAATGCAAGTCTCCACCATGCAAATACCCCACCATGCAAATCCCCACCATGCAAGTCTCCACCATCTTCGTTTCCTTCTTTGGCTGCTCTCGAATCATTTTCAAATGCTTATTTAAAAAAAAAATGGGGCACCATGGAAGCTTTTGTCCAAGCTTTTATTCCTTGCATTTGCATTCTTGGATCCAAGCCCTACTGCGCTGTCCAATAGAGCGATAAAGCCTGGGAACCAGCGGGAAACATGGCGATATAACAAAAATTTCCTATTGTCTCAATCAGGTGTTTTTTTGCGAAAAATCTCAGTGATCTCTGTGATTATTTTCTACCTGTAGGAGAATGTATGGAATTGTACAACAAGAACGCGGACTACAAGGAAAACGTGAACACGTGGCGTCACGCATCTAAATACAATAACAAAGAAGACTGCGAGAAAAATAAAGGAAAATGGGTCACGTTCCATAACTACCTCGAAGAAACAGACCTTGAAAAAAGCCAATGTACCCGGTTGCCAAACGGCCGACGTCTCATATGGGCCATACCTTATCGTTCAGAAAATGTGGACCAATTTAAAGGAAATGATACTGAGGGGTGGAAACGATGTTTGGTTTCACTGAGCCCACCAGACTGTCGTCCAGCACCCTACTCACGTTCCAATCACCTTGGCAACGGAAAGGGTGCGGTTACTCTAAGTTACCCGTGGAAACTGCCATACTTTCCTTCCAGTGTAGAGCAGAAGTGTGTGCTTAGAATAAGGTATGTGCAGTATAAATACGCCGAGCAACATTGGATAAGTTTGGCTGTGATTTGATTTTAATTAAACTACCAACAAGAATTTGAATGCCACCATCGATAACTTTTGCATAGTTACGAAAGTTATCGATGCAAAAGTTATCCTTGTTTTTGAAACAACTGTGAATTGTGAACCATCCAGTGGTGTAGCCAGCCCGACTATTTGCTCCTACTATGCAAATATTTCTGTGTTCATAGACTGTAAAAACAATGAATTTCTAAAGAGATGAATAATGATAATGCTTTGAAATTTATATAGCAGGAGTAATTTTTCAGGCTGGCTACGCTACTGGAACCATCAATAATTCACTATTCACGAGCAGAATACACTGGTGATGAAAAATCGGCACCGGAATTTTATCTTGACACCACGTCCCAAACGTCCATTACGTTTTTTCAGGATTTTGTTCAACATTGTCTTCAAAGAATCATTACAAACTTTGAATAATTTTTAATTTGAGTGCAATTGAATTTATTTAGATATAACATCTCAACGAACGACTATGATCCCATGAAGACATTCTCTGATTCAAATGGTGCCGAGTAAGTAGTCCGCACTTCAATAACTGTTAGTTTGCGTTGAGGAGTTGCAGTTTAGACGATATATCTCCATGCTGAACAATATTATGGTAAAGACGGGTGCTTTTTCCCCCTATTCTGGCGAGTGAAAAATGGTTTATGAATGCTTTTAAATTTCAATTAAAGCTGACATTCGAATGTTGAAGAATGAACGCATGAGATCACCCTTGAGATTATGGGTTCGATTTTCTCGACTCTGCAGACTCATGACACTCGTGTGAAAAGAGTCTGTAAACGCATTGCCGAAATTTGTGGGTTTTCTCCGAATACTCCCGCGGGAATGTTGACGAGGAGGGTTGGGATTATCCCCTATATGACTCTTTTACCGTAGCTGTGCTCCGTGGTCAGACATGAGTCATAACGCGGCTGCCAGAAGCGCCCTTAGAAAGCCTTCGACTCGATCAGGTTGAGCTGCGTCCTTTACATCTCAGCTTAGCTCTAAGCTTTGCAAGGATGCTTAGCATACCCCCCACTTACGTACTGACATTCCCACTTGCTAAGAATAGAAGGAACTGATAGAACCATAACAAAAATACTAGTTTGTTCCATGTTAATGAACAATAATCTCTCTTTTTTTATGTTTCCCATGTTATGTACTCAGAATATATGTTAAATGTTGTCTCTGACATCTGTTTGTGACGTTAGCCTGCCCAGTGTGGATACAGTCAGAGACAACATTACAAACACCAAAATAATTTCTAATTCCGATAACTAAATATCCCCATTTAGCAACTCCCCGATCACGAACGACCCCGAAGTATTATTTGGAAAACCAGGCAACAACAAGATCCCTCTTCAGTTGGCCATCAACACCGCTCAGTTTGGTCGCACATTCCAAGATCGCTCGCACGTGTTCAAAATAATTCCAAGACAGAAGCATTTCGAGGATAAAAAAATTTGGAACATGAACGTCCGAGGAAAGAGAGGAAACATAGTCCAAGTTTATCCTGCAGTAGAGTATGATTTTACTCCAAAGAGGTTGACGATAAAATCGAGTGATCACTTACATGTCCAATGGGAGGGTAAGTATTATATAGCATAGGTTCAATTTTTGATTTGCAGAGTTTTCTATATACCAAGATGTATTCTAAACCCGTAATCTTATATATTATTAAATAATTAATTATCCAAAGTTCTCATTTCATGCAGGTTCTAACACAAATCCAGCGAACAATGCAGGCGAAGGTCGAGCTCGTAAGTAAATATACTTTTTATTCATGCGTTTCATACAGTATGTTGGGAGGCATCAGTTGGCGATCAAAAAGGTTGACACTTTAAGATTTGTTAATCAAATCTCTTTCTTTTTTCCTTCTCGCCAATGACTGCTACATGTGATGAAAAGAATTTTCTTGTAGAAACTGACAGGAGCAATATGGTGGCCATGGAAGAACCTGACAGAAGCTTCCCTCATTATGGCGCCGTTTCCAGTCTTTTTGACGACGCCAAAGTTATTCACGCTTTGGATAGCAGACTCGATATGACGTCAGCGGACATAGCAATTGCTATGGCTACGGCGGGTAAGTATAACGACGCAACCAATGTTCCAGCTGATCTCAATAAATTGGAGCAATGCAATCGACAGCAGTTAGCTCAACTGGATTGCTATCCACCATCCTACGCAGGCTTGTTGTTGCAATTCAAGAAAGGTGTCTATTATTACATGTGCTCTCGTAATAATAATTTCACAAACCGAAGTCAAAAAGGCAGGCTCACCGTCAGTGACTGAAAGTGACTCGTGCTGTATTATTGAAAAATTGTGTCAATATAATTGACTTGTGTAAGTCAAAATTATGGAGCACGATTAAAATGAATTATGTCAAGAAGTTTGTGTTTTGTGTTTAAGCATACTGGGTTTTACTGAAAGCATCATTTCATTTCTATCAAGAGCAATGAAATATTGAGTCGATTCCATTCTCGTTCTCATGAATTATCAGCTTGCTGCCGCTGTCTCGAAAAAAAAAACAATACACACGTGACGATGAACTGACCATCTCGTGCGTAAACCAGGACAAAAACATAGATAATGAGATCTATTATGCCTTCATCAAGTTTCCTAACCTTCTTATTCGATTGACTATATAGTTCAAATGAGTCCAACATCAACTAACATCGTCTGATCGTCCAATATTGTTGGGCCAACAATATTGCATGGACAATGTTGGATGAAAATTTTAAATAATGCTAAATCCAGCCAAGCGATGGTGATCAGAGGATGGTGTTTGATGAGATGCCTGTATGAGCTTGGTTTGGAGCAATTCGTGCTTTTTATTGCGAGTAATGAACGCAGAGTTTCTATAGTGGGAAGGGGAGATCACCGATGATGTGAAGCTAAAAGATATCAAGCTACGTCCTTTCATTCTGTTTTTAAAGTCCACATGCACAACTGATATCCTCAAAGGTACTAAAAGTCATAGTTGATTGTCCATGTTGTTCAACATCTTGCGACAACCAAAATTACCCGACGTAATCAAACGAGGCCAACTATGTTTTATTCAACAATGTTGGATAAACCAACATGTTGGCTTTGTTCGAACAGAGTTTTTAACTGATGACCCAACTGATATTACACATATCACTGAAAAACCATATTTGGATTAGTCGTTAACTCAAACCGGCATTTTCGATTATAACACTGCAGCAACCCTGTGTACGTTTCTATTGAAACCATGCACGGGCATACTGGTTATGTCACGGTCAAAAGGCCATTATATAGGTTTAGGGATTGGGTTATAAATGTGGTCGAGAATATACTGAATATATTCGTGTTTAAATGTGGCTGTCAATATCGTTATGTTACTCCCACGTAATGTATTTTTCTTTGTCTTTAATTGCTCACTGCTCACAACCCTATCCGCGGCCTTAAAATCAGTTTCTGATTCTTTTGCATAACTACTGCAGCTTAAGGCCGTACCCCTTTAAAAATTCAATCAAAACGTGAACGAACTTTTGAAACAAAACGGTTTTAGCAAGAAACCCGTAAAAATATATTGTGTTGAAGTTTTGGCTTCTTCTTCGTTTGACATCATGGAAATTGAAAAATTGCCAACTTTCAGGGCCGAAAAGTTTATGAAAATTGAATTTTCTAATTATAAAATACATTACAAAAGTTCTTAGAATAACTCGAACAATCTAAATATAGCATAGGCATTTCCAGAACTTCTATTAAATTTGGCATATCCTACTCTACATACATACTTTACTTAATTACCCTATGACGCATGCACAATCACATGCGCAACTAGGCTACGCTTGATGGATAAGAAAACAGAGTCTTCGATTCAAACGTCAATTTTGATAAGAATAATAAAGCAAACAGTTTATGTTTACATTCATTTTAAAACTTAGTCATTCAGCTTTTCAACGGTAGGTTAGTTTTGAAATTTGAGTGAATGGTTGGCGAAAAATGTTAATTTTGTCTAAGATTGGAGAATTTTAATTCTAAATTTAATTTTAATTTTATTTCTTTAATGTTTAAAAACATTTAAGATGCAATACCAATTAAATTAATCGGCATCTCAAAATGATGCGCAATTATTTTTTTCTTCTATTAACATTTTTACTTATAGATACAAATGACCACTTGTTCAAAAGAGAAAAGAGCTGGATCTAAATAAAACTAACATCATTTTATAACGACTAGTATTCAGAAATTATTATAAGCATAAAGGTGACCTCCGTTTTATACAACCTGTATAGAAATTGTCGTAATTCAATATTACCATGCACAATTCTCAACATAAATACCCTATAATACTCTTAAAGGAATACTAAGTAAACATTCTTAAAGTCCTTAAACACTCTACCTCTATATTTGTACACCTATACTAAACAGAGCCTGATAAAACCACTTCAGATAAAATGTAGTAGTCTCGCAACATTGAACATGGTGGGTTTCACACGTCATATTTGAACCACAGAACCGGTTCTTTGCCGTAGTCACGTAAGCTAGGTGAATCATGTATTTCATCCTATTTTCTTGTTAGAGAGCGCAAGCGACGTTCTTGACAACACAGGTTTAGGGCCGACTGGGCTGTGAATGGGGTCGAGAACAAAAATGTATGTATTCGTGTTTAAATGTGGCTGTCAATATCGTTATGCTATTCCCACGGAATGTATTTTTCTTTGTTCTTGACTCAAATTACCCTGCGAGCAAAGTCCTCTCGTATTTCTTCTCAGCACGGCACGGAGAGCGAGAGCGACTCTGCAGAACTTGTGTATATTCTTTGTGGAGCCGACAATCCAAAACCTTGGATAATTATGCGTAATTTCAGGTTTGATATAGGCTCCTCCGCAGGCATCGCCTTTCGATTATCGGGCAAAAATTCTTCTGAAGTACGTGAATTACGAGATGCCTGCGGAGGAGGCTAGGTTTGATATTGGTTTTATAACTGGTTTTGATCCGAACCGGAAACTTCTTATTAAATCTTCTTCTGGGAAATAGGCAGTTGCTTAGCAACCTTCGCGCATGCTCAAATGAATTTATACACATGTTCTGCAGAGTCTCTCTCGCTTCTCCGTGCCGAGAAGAAATACGAGAGGACTTTGCTCGCAGGGTAGACTCAAATCACACGCGGCCATAAAATCAGTTTCTGATTCTTTTGGACTACTGAAGCCTTAAGGCCGTACCCCTTTAAAAATTCAATCAAAACATGACCGAACTTTCAAAACAAATCAAAGTTAATTAATTAAACACGGTTTTAGCATGAAACTCGTAAATATAGATTGTGTTGATTTTGGCTTCTTCGCCGTTTGACTGCACGGAAAATGAAAAATAGCCAACTTTCAGGGCCAAAAAGTTCATGAAAATTAAATTTTCTAATTATAAAACTAGACTACAAAAGTTCTTACAATAACCCGAACAATCTAAATATGACATTGGCACTTCAAAAAATTCTATTAAATATGGCATACCCTACTCTACATACTTTACTTATAATTACCCTATATATGACGCATGCACATGATTGGTATACAGTTCAACATGATGGATCAAAAAATGGAGTCCTCGATTCAAACGTCAATTTCGATGAGAATAATAAAGCAAACAGTTTATGTTTGCATTCATTTTAAAACTTATAGTCATTCAGCTTTTCAACGGTAGGTTAGTTTTGAAATTCGAGAGAATGGTTGGTGAAAATGTTATTTTTGTGTCTAACTCTAAGATTGGAGAATTAAACATTTGAGATCCAATACTAAACCAATGCTAACTTATTTTGTCCACAAAACTGAAAAATTGAAGCATTTTGGCGATAACTGAAACTAAGAAAGTTTAAGAAATATATATATACAGCTTGCTGTATAATACTTTTAGTTCATTTATTAACTTTACATGTTTTACAGGCCACGATATTAGGCAGTGAATATTAGTATTACCCTTCAATCGAGTGAGATGCCAACAAAATCTTGATATTGACACATAACCTACACATGGCAGTACCCTAGTATAAATAAATGAACTTGTGGTTAGAGCTCGACAACGTACTGACCTCTGTAGCACAGTTGCTTAGAGCGCTGCACCGGAATCGCTGCGCCATGCCACAGATGAGGTAATACAGATGTGAATCTCCTGTGAAAATGTGTCACACGGATTAAATAAACTTTAAAATTGTATTAATTCACTATTTTATTAAATTTTGATAATGCAGAGGAATAAAACTATACATATTATAGAAGTATTCATGTTTTTTTTTATGCGAGAGTTATGTTTTGAGGCATTTATATCATTCGCTGTTTTGTTATTTATACACGAGCATCTGAAATTCCCAGCAAGTGTATTTCGCGATTTTAATAAGAAGTAGATAGGGAAAAAAACAAACTTTTGCTAAATAAAATGTTATATTAACACTTTTAATAAAAAGAAATCAATAAAAGTGATCGCTTACCGTTACTCTTGAAGAATTAATTTCAAAAATAGCCGTCGGTAGCGTAGACTTTTAAAAAAAACAATTTTTCGTCTTTCGAACGGCGTTTTCCTATCTCTTTCCTTATTAAATTTCAGAACGACACTTGCCAGCGCTCGCCGGAAGTGAGAATTCCGTGTGACACAAAACAATCAGCAATTTCACAGGAGTTCACATCTGTACTTACCTCATCTGTGGCCATGCACAGGTTCGATTCTTGGCTCCTGCATTGGCGGCCAGGGACCTAAAGTTGCATTTTCCCCTTCTGTTCCTGCATGGTTAGGTCTAATAAATGTATATAGTAAATACCCTTCAACTAATATTCAATCGCGTGAGATGCCAATAAAATCTTGATATCTAAGAATGATGCGTTAATTCTTTTCTCTAGCTTGTAACGCACTAAATGCACTTTTTTCTCTAGCTTGTAACGCACTTAAATGCACTTTAGACACAAATGACGACTTGTTCAAAAGAGATATGTCATATGTGCTGCATGAGCTTTAAAATAAGACTAGCATTATTTTATAAGGACTAGTATTCAGAAAATACTGTATAAAAGTATAAAAGATGAACTCCGTTTTTATACACCCTGTATAGAATTTTTTATTATTCAATGTTACCACAATTCTCAACATAAACACCCTATGATACTTTTATCGGAATATAAACATTCTTAAACACTCTAAATCACTCTACCTCTATTATACGCCTGCCAAATAGTGCACGAAACCACTTCAGATAAAACGGCAATTTTAGTCCTACAACATTGAACATGGTGGGTTTCACACGTCATGTGGCTTCCGGTTGGTGTACGTGTTGTCACTGTTCGTGCATACACCGTATGACGCGCAACTTATGCACTACGTCATAGCATACATCCTATGACGCGCAACTTATGCTATATATATATGACACGACGCATGTGCTATCGAAGACAAACTGATTCGACCGTCGTTCAGTGCACATCTCTACA